GAGAATTATAAAAATCTTATTAAATTTTTATTTGAGATTGAAGAATAGTGAGTTTAAAAAATTTATTAAATATTATTCTGAATATAATATATTATAACAGAAGATCATTAATATGGTAAAAAAGTAAACTTATAAGCTTTTATTTATATTTGATTGATTTAACTATTTTAAGAAAATTATAAATAAGTTTGAGATTTAACTCAGCAATATCTACAACTTTGATGAAACAAAGTTTAAAATAAAAATTAAACAAGATCAGTAAATAATGATATGAGATTTTCAAGAAAAGACTTATATTGAAAGTTTAAATAATAAAGAAAATTTTACTATCATTAAAATAGTCTTAGTAGATAATTTTATTTTCTTTTTTTTTACATTCTTACTGTGAAGTAGCTACAAAAGTATTGAACTAATAAGATTGAAAAAAATATTATTAAAATTATATCAGACACTGATTATAAGAATAATTAATTTTTTTTTTCAATGAATTCAACACTTTCATAACTCTACAAAGAGTTATATTAAAGAATTTTATTATCTACTTCTATTGAATGACTTTGACTTTTACTATATATATATATTTATAAATTATTATAATAAAAATAATATTATTCTCTTCTATCTTATTTTTTATATGAATTATCTATTATAGTCTTTGAATATAAAGGTTTTTCAAATATTCAAACATTATCATTAATTAATAATTAAAGAATTAACATGATTTAATTTATGAGAAGTTTATAAAACTTTGAATTTTTTTATATTATTATTTTTATATAAAAAATAATATTTAAAATTCATATAATTAAAAGAGAATAAGAAATAATAGATCTGATTTCATTTAAATCTATTCATTATTCTTAATAAATTATATAAATTTGAGATAACTTCTATAAATTTATCTATATTTATTTTTATATATTTTTTGATTTAATATATTTCTTTAATTATATATCAATTCAATTGATATAAGTGTAAATTGAAAGCTATGAAAAACATTAAAAACTCTGAACATATTTAAATTGAGCTAAAGAAACTCTATAATAGCAGTATTATAATAATTAATATAATGACTTTTCTGCAGAATTAGCTCTCAAAAACTGCTATAGTCACTGCAGCTCATAAATACTACTGATGAGTATTTTGATGAGTATTATATAAAAAAAATATCATATTTACATCTAATATACACAAGATAACAGTCATTCATCAAAAGCTTGATAATCAGAAAATATTAGAGAAGTTGTATTTAATGAATCTTGCTACATATATTAATAAATTAATTTAATATCCTGGATAAAAAAATATTTCATATTGAGGTGGTAGTTCACATTGAGGTGGCAGACCCTCATGAAAGTCCGACCAGAGGTTGATTATGAAATCAACCACTAGGGCCTGGTTGTTCTTTTGACGGACATGGCGACTTCTAAATTAATTAATTGGTTGATTTGGATACATCTGGTTTTTTCACTCCAAGATGATATCAGATAACCTATACACATTAAGAAGGGCGCGCATCAACTAGGACCCACAAAAGCCAGCAGGGATGGAAAATAACCGCTACGAGGGCATGTGTTTGTAATTTGACCGCGACTTGAATTGAGATATTTCTTCCCAAAGAAAGAAGAGAGAAAATAAAACGAAGCAACCAAAACAATTAATCCAAAATTTGATTCTTTTATATTCATCATAACCCAGGGAAAAGCCGGGTATTTTATAAATTGATGACTGAGAGTAAACCTCATGTCCACAAAAAAGAAAAAAAAAATATAGAGTATTCATGTCTTCTGAAGGTAACCATCTTTTCATCCATCCATTAACCAATATACCCCATCTCAGACTCGTAATATTGAAAAAGAAAAGAAAAAGGACATAAAATATACAACTCGGCCAAAAAATAACGGGTCATCAAGACAAGTTGCGGATGGAACCTTAAACTTCGAACCTAACATATGAGGAGAAACAGATAAGTAGAAGTGAAAATAAAACCAAATAGGAAACCCATAAAAGGTTAATATTTCCTGAAAAGGAAAAGAAAGGGTAAAAATAGAAAAACTCCACCCTCTTCGGAAAGTATTTATCGAGTCAGACAATGCTATGTTGGGTTTCTGTGGCGCTCTGATGGTGGTTGGATTCCGCCTCAATCGTGAAAGCAAAAAAATCAAGGTGGAATGAGATGAGATGATAGGTTCAAAAAGGGAGACAGTGGAGAGAGGGAGGTGAGCCTATCAGCCGGGAAGAACTTTGTAGTTCAGTAAAAGAAAATAGATATAGCGAGATTCGTATTCATCAGGGAGTTCCATTAAACAGAAAACACAAACACAAAAGAGAAACCAACAATAATGCCAGGGGAAGGTGGGGGAAGAAGGGTATGTAGGAAGTCATTTTAAGGAGCTCATAAAATCGGCAATCGATACTAACGGAAGTTGTCCAATCACGCATTAAGCGGGACATATCTTGGCTCGGAGAAAACGGGCAGGATCTTCAGAAGAAAACCAAGTAATGTAGTAGGATGATGGATTGCGGCGGAGGTTTAATAGCCGGAATGGTACTAGCGAGTTCAAGGAGAATGGTATATCAAAGAAGCTCGTAATGTGTTTCGTGGAAATTGGAGCAAAACGGTTTTGTTTATATACGTATCGCTTAGAGTTTGTTGTTTTCTAATCCTGCCAGCCCCACACTTGCTTCAAGAAGTGTGCCATATTGACCTTCTTAGTCTTCATTTCAAGCATCCACGGATGTTCAGACATTCGCCAGGGCGTTGCCCTTCTCGGTGGCTCCTTTTCCAAACTACATTGTATTTCGATAGATGTTAGTTTTATGTTAAATTTTGCATTTTGATTCCCTATCACCGCTAAAACCTATAAATCAAGACAGGATGGTAAAACTCACCAGCACTCAATAAAGTATTTGAAATTTTCACTCCATTTTATGCCATTTTCAGGCTCGTCCTTTAACTGGGGAATCGGCTGGCGTACAATATAGGTTAGGAGGTCTATCAGCCCTGCTCGCGGGTTCATTTCCGTTCCGTCTGCAGGGAACGGGAAACGGTGTTGCGCTACTTCCAAAAGTGTGACTCCAAGGGACCAAACATCAGATGTGATTGTGTAAGATTGTCCTGTTATTCTTTCAGGGGCCATGTAGTAGGAAGTGCCAATAAAAGTGTTTGCATCTCCCTTTGTGCCGAATTCACCACTGACCCCAAAATCACAAAGTTTGACTTGGCCATTGCGACACAGGAGGATGTTTGAAGGTTTGATATCTGTGATATTCAAAAGAAAAGAAAATTAGTAAAAAGGTTATTTGAGATTTGCCTTGGAAAAGTGTTACCTCGATGGATAATTTTCCGTCCATGTAGGTAGGTTAGACCATTTAATACGCCTTCCGCTACCTTACCCAAGACCTTCTCTCCCGTCCGTCCTCCGAGCTTCTTCACTTCCCTATAGACGCTATCAAGGCTGCCTCCTTCGCAAAATTCCATAGCAATTGATATAGTGCTGGTCGACTTGTCCATGAACGCACCATAATATCGGCAGATATGCTCCGATGCACAATCTTTATTGAAATTGAGCTCTCGGACAATCTGTTTCTTGACGTCTGGGTTAGGATCTGTGGTGATAATCTAAAATATTTTTTAAAAGCGAATATTAGCAATGTTCCTTGATGAACTAGATAGATGAAAACCATGACAAACCTTTAGAGCAAATACAGTTTTCCCTCCTTTTAACATGCAACGGGTGACGGCACCACCAGCCCCTTCACCAAGGCTATCAAGTTCAATAATCTTTTTCTGTGAGCTAGCGGCCAGCCAACCTTCATCATCCAAATCCTCTACGTCCAACGGCCGTCCCTTTTCCAAACTCAGTTTCTCCAAATCCGGCAACAAACCATTCATGTTGTTATCTCTTTCCATAGTTAAACCGCCATCCCCTCGATCGGAATACACGGAACTAATAGCGGAAGTCGGATCCGGGGTTCCGCCAGGAGGTTGTCTCAAGCCAATAGCAAAAGATAGTGTGGAATAGTTCGAAGAAGTAGCTGATGTGGGCCCACTGTTCCTGCCGTCGTATGTGGTGAAGCTTCCCGATCTCGAATGGTTGCTGTGGTCACTATTACTTGTGATTGCGGACGAGGCCCCAAAAGTCTGGATGGATGGCCGTGCACTGTTCAGCGGACCTGCCTCTTGAGGAGTAGCTTTACTCCCCATAGGAGTGGCTAATCTCAGTTGGGGTGGTGCTGGACGGACAGGTCGGGATTGAGAGGCATCGGAGGCAGAGACGAGACCATTTGAATTCACAGGTTTCATACTGGGCGAAGGTGGGATCCCGAGGGTGAGACGAGGTGGTTGTTTCCGGTTGCTACCCGGAGTTGGTATTTTTAAAAGGGGAGCCGGAGTCGACATGTTGGACATGGGTGCCTTTCACGGGGTCAGGCAGCGCCTTTTGGACCAGTGATCGTCCAAAGGACTATCCAGTGTTGTGACAACCGAAAGTTGGAATAGGTAGGTATAGCAAATATGGGAGACGAATAGTTGTTGAACGTATACGTCAGACTCCAATGGAGGAAGGGATATAAATATATCCGAGGGAGAGAAAATGTTGTATTAAGCACGGACGATGATTAGATTGGGAACGGACAGATGCGGGGGAAGGGAGAAAAGGCTGGAAAATCTCGCAAATCCAATCTTGAAATAACTGATATCGTCAGGGTTACAAGGGACTTTGCTTGCTGATTTATGATATTTCTGAAGGAATCGGAGGGTTTCAATATTTGGTAAGCAGCAGAAGGTATTTATTTATGTGGTTATATGACAAAGTAAGCAGAGGAAAACGCAGATGCACGGGGCACGATGCTGCAAGCAAATTTGGATCGACCGAAATGGAGGATTCTGGTTAGAGGTAATAGGGGAAATAATATATACCTAGGAGATTGTAGAGGGTGTATGTCAGTCAGCATGAATCTAGCCTCCAAACTGAAGATTATCACAGGGTCAGAAGAAAATGGGTCATTCCAGGTCGAATAAGGGATCCAAGGCAACGGGCCAGCATCAACATTTTGTGGAGGGAAGTCGTCGAACTGGATTCTCCCCCAGGGATATAGGTGTGGGACGTAGTGGTGGTGGACGGGGCGAGAAGAGGGGGGTGTGGGGAGGAGGGGGTTAACTAGCGAAAGTGAACTTACCCAGCTATTTAGATACGTTAGTGAAAATAATTTTTATATCAGCCGGTAGAGAGTCAAGAGCCCGAGGAAGGGAAATACGATAAAAGAATCTAAAAGGGAGAAACGAGAGGGACAGGAGGTTGAAGGCGGGGGAGGTGGGAGCGTAGGAGTTGGGAGTCGGGAGTCGGGGCACGGGAGATGGTGGTGTTGGTGGTGGTTAGTTATTATGGCCCCGTACAGCTGAGCTAAGTAAGGAACGAGGCGGTCGGTGAGAAGACCTGATGATACCTCGCTACCTTGTAAATGATGTGTGGTTGAAACCGAGTACCTCTAGGTAGTAGTGTCCAATAAAATTAATAATAATAAATTATAATACTGCGGTCGTCCTCCTCCTGCTCGTGCTCCTCCTCTCCTCCGTAATAGACGATAAACTGGAGTGTGCTGCTGCAAGGCAGCCGAGCAACAGGGTTCTTAAAAACTCCCCTGCAAGTTTACAAAGCTAACATTCCCTGCCTTTTTTGCCTTTGCCTTGTCTTTGTCTGCATGTCTGGTCACGGGGTCTGGGTCTGGTGCTGGGTCTGGGTCTGGCTGAGCAGCCACTAAACATGGCCCACTAAGCCCACTCGCCCACCCCTAATACTGAGGCGCCCAAGGGCTAACAACCCCCTACGAGCGGGCCACGGCTGCCCCCTAGATATCTTTCTTGCCAGCAATCCTGCAAGGAACAGCATTCACAATTAACTCCTCTGTTAACTCTCTCCAATGAATTTCAATTTTCTCAATTTTCTCCATTTCTTTTCATATTAATACATCTCTCCAGTTGGCGGCTAATCTATTTTCCTTTCCACAACGCCAGTCTCAGATGAGGGTGGTCTAGGTATGTTTGAACGCAACTATGTGTCATGGTGCCCCCATCCCTGGATTAGCCTTATGTCATATGGTGGATCGTAGGTTCGAGCACGTCCCACAGAGTCGGAGTGAGAGAAACAACCAGAGAAGAATTATGAAACGAGGGTGAGAGCAACGGATAAGAAGAGGAGGAAATACCGAGTAGAGAAATCAAAGAGATAGCAGCAGATAGATGTGCCAGTGCCATACGTACTTACCTGCAGAACGGTTATTATCTAACTACACTTCTGCATACTTCGGTGGTTAAATGACTGGACAATTCCAGAGAATTTTCCTGAACTTCTGTTGATGGATATAACTTCCTGGGAACACGGAGTCTTCTTATCTAGTGAATCCAAACACTGCCTACGGAGTATAAGCACACCGGGCGCAGTAGCCAAATTTCCTCCCGGCAGCCGGCGGCCAAAAGGATCAAAGATGGATCGTGATGCTCTACTCTATTTACCCCATGTCAAGAGACGAACATTCTTCAGCTTTCCTTCCATCCACTTTTGAAAGATTGCCCGAACAGTGGATAGTTCAATGATAGTTCAATGGATAGTTAGCATGTGGATCGATGAGTTACCTGCTCAAAAGAAATAGGTTCCCCCCCCCCCCCCCCCCCCCCCCCCAAAAAAAAAAAAAAAAAAAAAAAAAATTAAATAAATAAAAAATTTAAGATAAGATTCCAAATAATGCACCCTTGTCACAGTCAAGCTTCCACATCACGTCGACCAACAGAAAGCCTCCTCGTTTCCTACCATTCGTTTCCTCCAAGCCAAATGAAAGAACGCATAAACCCCTCGCAAAGGGAAATAATAACAATCAATGATGATTGCCCACCGGAGAGAGTGTTTTGAAAACCAAGCAAAATAAAAAGGGCTGCCAAACCAACAGCCAATCAAATTTGAACCCAACCAGTCTACCATCGAGGAGTTTTACGGAAGTCGGCGAACCGCTCTACCTTGCAGAGTGATATTCGAGACCCGCCAGGGCTGATGAAGTGCTACTTATTTTGCTTGCCCTTTACCAGTGCCTAGGTAGTGCCTAGGTAAGGCTTTCAGTCAGTTGAACTCAGTCCTGACTCCGCTGCCCTTCTCTGACCTTCTTTTAACTTTGTTAATTTTCGATTTTTTTGATTCTTTTCTTCCTTTCTTCTAACTTCTAGTTCCCCTCCCTCCCCCCACCCTTCCTACAAGTTTTATCCAATTTATCCAAGGAACAATGACGGACATTTCATGGATTTATACTGGAATATAAATCATGGCTAAACTTATTTTCTCTACCATCTCATACATAAGGTCATGGTGTAAGACAGGCGGTTATCAAGAAATGCTGCTTTAAATCCCGCACATTATCACACGTTACTTTTGCGGGGGGAGGACCTTGAACTATATACAAGCTGCAAGTTGTACGTTTGGACGATATGAAAATGTTCCTATTCCACTTTCTGGCATGTCCATACCTTTGAAGGTTCGAAGGTTCCATGGTTCTTGTCCAATGATCCCCTCTTCCCAACAAGGTACCTAGAATCTCTTGTGAACCAACAATTAAAAAACGTAAAAAAAAAGAAGAGAGAAAAAGAAAAAGAAAATCAAGAACAAGCAGTCAACCTTGGAATCGGAGAATCCACCAACCTTTTCCAAGCCTTCTATGGGCCCGGCATTCTAGGTGGTCTCCTAGAAACTGAACATCCATCGGAACCTCAGCTTTCAAGAATTTCGTTCGAGCTGATTTTATTTCCTATAGGCAGGCAGAATCTTGTCTGTAGGCACCCAACTAAATCATCCGCCAGTGCTGAGAGATATAGTTATATACATGTTTCTTAGGTTAATTTTATATTCGTAGTGGAGAGCCTGGACAAACAAGCTAGCCTTGCCGCCATTGCCATCGTCAGCATCGTTTGTCACAATGCTGCTGGATGCTGGGCCCTGGCTCCACCCGCCGGCCCTACTTTAGGAGGATCGGATGGCAAGCCGCCTTGGCTACGGGAGGACCCGCCGCGATCAGAATTGGCATCCTTGAATTGACGGTAATAACTTTGCCACCGACGGCATAGGCATAGCATAGACTTCGATTGATCCATTTATTGGCAAGAGAATTCACGAACAAAGTAACAACACCTACAGTCATACTGCCTATAGAATATCCACATATGGGCAAGGGTGATATCTGTATTGGAACTTTCACTTTCTTCTCTCCTGCTCGGGTGCGACCGTTTTTTTCATGTCCTGTTGAAAACTCCACAACGTCTTCATCCAGCGGTTTGTTGACAAAACTCAAACCCCTAAATGCCTACCAAGGCATCATTCAAACAGTTCATATCATGGGTGATAGATAATTAATCAAATATCTTCTTTCACGTAACTCACCGAGTAACCCACGCGATTTTTTGACGACCATTGAAAATTGAAATTATTTAACCAACATTCTTAGTTATTGCATTTTAAAATCACTAACTAGCTTGTTGATCTATATGAACAGGTAGTTGCTGCCTGCTTCTGCGGTTTGCTCATCAGCTTCTTGTTCCGCTGATTTAATTGCTTCAAGAGCCTCCTGAGCATGTAGTTGACCTTCTGCAGCTGTTAAAATGCCTTCTAAAGCTATATAGGCCCTTTTAGATTCACACTTCCGCTTTTGATTGACATTTGCCTTCTGAGATTGCTTGAGTTCATGTTTAAAAAAAAGGCCTTTCCCATTGCAAATTGACACCCTTTATAACCTGATACACTGCCTGAATAATGAGACTAGGTGGGCTTTGTGCACTGTCTCCATAGCTTTATGATCAAGATAGATTGCTTTTCAAGATCTCTATCAGTTCTTGAAGTCTTTCCAACTCAGCTAGATGATGACTTGCTTTAAAAGCTATTTGATGATATAACTAGAAATGAAAATCATTAAAAACCACTCAAGTTTAAATAAAACTAGATATAAAATTATTTTTTAATTAACAAATATTAATTTAATATTTATACTTTAATTAAACAATTTAAAATTAAACTTTTTATTTATAATATTAATATTATTAATATTATAATTTTAATTTATAACTTTAAAATAATAATTAATTAATATAATTTTTTACTTAAATTAATTTTTATTATTATTTCTTTTAATAAATTTATTTTTATATATAAAAATAAAATTATATTTAATAATATATTATTTTATTATTCAAATATTAATTTATTATATTATTTTCTTTTTTTAAAAAAATTTATTTAATATTATTTAATAATAATAATAATTTATATAAATTAAATATTTTTAATAATATTTATAAATATAAATATATAATTTATTAAATTTTTATTTTGATTTATTATTTTTTTAATAATATTATATAATAATAAATAAAATAAATTTTAATTATTTAAATAAATTTAATTTTTATTATAATATTTTTTAATAATAATTAATGATTAAAAAGTTTATTTAATAATAAAATATAAATTAAGAGAAAATATAATGAATAATATAATTCATCTCTAAGTAAATTATCAAAATTATTATATTTCAACTAGCTAGAATTTAATTTAAAATATTTATATCAACAATATCTTATTAAATTAAAATAATTTATATTAAAATTAAAGTATCTTGTTCTTTTATGATCAGGCAAATTGCAACTGCTGCACTGTTGTGAAACTTCTGAGTATGATTAAAATTCTACAAATAAAGATTTATAGAGTTGAAGGGCTAACTGTTCAATGAGTATAGCAGCTGAAATAGTAAGCTGAGTAGTTTTCTGTTTGATTAAATCTTCTTCTTATTGAATTCTTTGACTAGACTCTTATGTTATTGCTTTTCTTTTTCATTTGCATTGAATATATTCTAATATTACTTCTTTATAATAATGGAATTAATCATTTTATATTCACAGACCTTGATAATTTGATCAAAATCTTCTACTAAACTTTGAGACTACAGATTCTTTATAGAGCTTTTGATCTTTTTGACCTGCTGTTGCAATTCCTGCAGATTGATAGATATTTAAAGTACTGAGAATAAAGTTAAATTGCTTGATCTGCTGATTGAAGGGGTAGAAATTCAATGTTAAATATTTAACTGCTGAATAACCTGATCTGATTCAAATAATACTATATCAATAGCTTTGAAATCATTTTGAATGTTTTGAGCTTTAAAAGCTTTCATATATACTGCAGAGTAGGTATCTAAAAAGTCTGTCTTCTTAATGATTGAATTTAAATCATATTCACTGTTCAATAAGACTATTATATATATATATATTTCAAAACTGCAAAAATACTTACATTTAGTGACTGCAAGATATGTGAAAAATATTCTAACATTCAAAAAGAAATAATCATATTCTTCTTGTAGATGTAGTTAAATTCTGAAATAAAATAATTATCATGTTCATTCAGAATAAAAAAAAAAGTGTCAATTTTATGTGAATTTGCAGCAGAAATAAATAATATAGTAAGTCATTTAACTTCTATCTCATCTGTAGTCTAGTTATTATAACTAACATTAAATTTTTAGTCATCTGGAAGCTTATCAAATCAGCCTTTCTATAGCTTTTGACCTTTAATAATCATATATGAAGGCAAGGCTTAGCTTGATACATTGATTACCTCAATCATAATCATTTATTCTCAATTTCTAAACTGTAGAAGCTTTGCTCAGTCATAATACTCACTACTAATAATAATTTTAATAGTAATATAAAGTTTTATTACAAACTCAATCTCATCAAAGTTGTATATATTTTTAAATATAATTTCATACTTAGTGATTATATCTTCTAAGGTTTTAAATTAAGTCTGAATAACTCTTATATTTTTATATTTAGCTTGTTTATGATTATAATATCTGGAATAGCAGTAATGAAGCTTTATATAATATTTAATTAGCTTGTAGATTCAGTTCTTATCAACTTAGAAAACAGAGATTGAGATAGAGATTAAATGCTAAAGTTTAAAAAAATAATTGATCATATTCTCAACAAATATTAGCTGAAGAAATATTTTTTATTTTTCTAGATCTAGTATCTACTGAACTAGCTGATTCTCTTTATACTTAGTTAATTTAATTGAATTTGTATATAGATTCACATGTACAGATTGACTGTTAAGTCTATGATATAGAATAGTATATAAAACCTCATGAAGATATGCAGCTTCATTAATTTAGATAATTTTATTAATTTTTAAAGCTTTTATTATAAGTTCAATTCTTTTCTCTATTTCTATAGAGTTTCTGATATTTTTATCGTGAATTGACGATATTCTCATGCATTGAAGTGGGTGAGTTATAAAGTTGAAGCTTTTTTGAATTTGATAATTTACTCAGAGGTAGATTATATTATATATATGATAAAAACTTATATTAAAAGTAGTTAACAATTAAATATAAAGTAATTATATAAAAATTAAATAAGATTTTTTGTAATAAGAATAAAAATAAAGTAATTAATAAAAAAATATAAAAATATTAAATTAAATAATATTATTATTATAACTTTAATTTAGATATAAATAAAATAAATATTTAATTGTTAATTAGATAAACTATTTTAATAAAATATTAAAATAATTTTTAAAAAATAAATTAAGAGAAAACTTTATTTGTATATTTCTTTTCTTAGCATAATTATTAAATGATTCTTATATTTATAAGATATTAATATACAAGATAATTATAAGGTTAATTATTATATTATTGCTAGATAGTTGTAATTATACTTTTTATTAAGTAGTTTTATACTATTAAAAGTTTAAACAGAGTCTGTTCTACACTATTACATTATTCCTTTTTTTGAAGTTTAAATATGTTCTAATATTAATAGATTATTATCTACTTCATTTGCTAGATAGTCATTCTTTTCTCAAGTTTTTAGTTATTTACTTAATCATTTTAAAAATTCTACTTTTATTAAATTTATAATATAAAATTTTTAAATTAAATATAGTGATTCTTTTATATTTTATACTGAATATTATATTAAATTATTATTAAACTTTAATTATTTTATTTAATATTAAATCTTCTTATAAAAGATTTAATTTATTAAAATACTCTTAATCTTTCACTTATTTTCATCTTATATTTGAACAGATTTTAATATTTCATTTAATTATTCTAATAGAAAATCATTTATAGTTTTTATAACTTATGAGAAGAAAATATTATCTGAAATTTTTATACTATTTAGTAGATTTAGTCTATAATTATTATTAACTTTCTTAATAATCTCAAAAAAATTTTTATTTTACTTTTTAAACTTTCTACTGAGATGTTTAATTTTATAATTCTTAAGTGATAAAATGATCTTATTTTTTATTTTAAAATTTGATTTATAATAATATCTGTTGATTTTTAATTTTATAGTTTTTTATATTTTTTTTCATATTGTCAGCAATCAGCTTTTAAATTTTCTTTATTTGAGCAATATATTATCAGATATTTTTTTATTTAAGCTTCTTCTCTCTATATAATATTTTCAACAATGATATTCAATTAAAGAATATTTAAAATTCATATCTATAAATAGTTAGAAAAAGTATTATTTCAGTTAATTCATATATTAAAACTTTAGTTACAGAATTTATAATTAACAATTACTTATTTTAATTATTCTAATAGTAGTTTATATATAAATATAACTTGATTATTAAATATTGATTGATGATCTCAGTTTATTCATTTTTTTTATATATGATAAACTGATGAAAACTTCAGTTTAACTACTAATTATCTATAAACTTATCTCAGAAGTTTAAAATAAATTATAATTCTCATTTTGATATAATTAAATCTGATACTTTATTATATTTATAGTAATATTTTAAGAACAGATTTATCAGTTCTTTAATATCAGTATTTTTTGTGATGAGAATAGATATGAACTTCTTATTTAATCAATAGATAATTATTAATATTATATTATGATTTTTTTTATTTTAAAGTTATTTATGAAGTTTATTGAAATATATTATCAGACTCTGCTAGAAATTGATAACGACTTCAGTAAGTTCAGAGTATTATCATAAAAAATCTTTATTTA